CGCACACGCACACACACACATATATATATATATAAGTTGTATTTGAAAAAGGTATAGGTATTCCTTCGGGTTCGTTCGGACGACCGGCAGCGAACGGAACCGCTATAAATTACAAATCGAAAAAAGGAAGCAACTATAAACGGCAACCGCGGCGAGTTACGATTTCGCGTTAAATATGAAATACTGCGATCCTTGGTCGTTTGCCTTTTCACTCCCTTCTTTCCTTCCTCTCTATCTTTCTCTGTTCATCTCTTTTATGCATTCGAGTGAAAACTTGCTATTAAGTAGCTACTTAACATATTTTAATAAACTAAACAGAGAGAAAAAATCAATATCTCTACAATAGGAAATAGTAATGTTTAATGCATTATTTCGTTTATTTCCAATAATCATATCGATTAGATTTCTTTCAATGAAAAATAATTACCATAAGCTGACCAAAAATGATTCGAGTGTCGAATGATATATCGTTAGAAGGGTAATACCTCGTGTGAATAACGATAAACGATATTTTCTTCGATATTTACGGCTCCTCCGTGTCTTTCCTTCCTTTTCTCTCTCTCTCTATGTCGACTTCTGTCTCTTTTAGAATCGTAACGAGTTCCAAGGCGAAAAGAACCTGCGCCGAGGGCGGACGGTTTCGAGAGAGATCGAGACGATTGGCCCATTAAAAAGAGCCTTATTAATATTGTAATTCCTTTTTAATACGCGTAAATCTCGGATCGGGACAAGGCCACCTCGGTGGACTGTTTTATGGCCGTAAGAGATCTTTTTCTTTTTTTTTTTTCTTTTTTTTTTCTTCCTTTTTTTTATAGTCCACACAGAACCTAGGATTTCAAATAGCTTCAATTTATTCATTTCGTTGTGAAAAGAAATTGGAAAATTTGTATGATTTGTTCTTTCATGAGATTGATGGATTTTCCGATTAAGACATTTTCTTATTCATCTTCCTTCGAAAACGTTTTGCTTTGTTATTTCGTTTCAACGCTCTGTAATCGATTATAAGATATATTTGAATTTTGTTACTATACTCATTGTTAGTCATTTAATTATGACCGGTTTTGTCAAAACTTTCGATTTGTATATGAAACGAAAAACTTATACGAACTGGACGATAAGCGTGAAATTTGATAAATTCAATTTCATAACTTCGAATATCTTTCAACCGAAAAAGCCGCATTTGAATTAAATGACATCAGAATTTCTAATTTTCTAATTTGATTGATCGTGTGAAACCAGCTTTGTCAAAATTTCAGATTTATAAGTTTAAATGCGTTTGCGTGAAATAGAAAATTTCTATACTAAAATGTGACTTAGAAATTCAATTAAAACCTTCGAAAATCTTTCTTATACAAATTAAAAAAGTATGTTGATACGAGAAACATGCTAATAGATCGATATGTCAACAAAAAATATTAATTAACCAATATAAATTATTCAAGTTTTATATAATATTTTTCAAGAAATTTTTCTTTTCTCTCCATTCTTCCACACAACGTTCAGAAATATTAAAACGTTAGGTAAATCAAGGGAAAAAAAACTTAATACGAATGGAACAAAAGCTATACCTAACAAATTATAAAACTTTATCGCGAAAGTTAGTTCATTTCGTCGAGTCATTTTTCTTTCGCAGATGAAAAAGAAAAAAAAAGGCGTGATGGTTGGGTGGGGGGTGGGTTTGGCGTCGAAATGAGAAACTCAAACGAATGAATCAATACGTTTAAAAGGATTAGTAATGTTTCCTTTTAAATAAATTCGAATATCACCGCGAAGTACCTTTTTTTCTCCTCGTTGTTGTTGTTGTTGATTTTTTTCTTTCTTTCTTTTTTCTTTCGTTGTTGATCTTTTTGTCCATCTACCACCACATCTCTTCTCCTCGATTCTCGTCTTCTTTTTCCTTCTTTTTATTATCCTTCTCTATTTAGCTGGTCTCGATGCCCGCGTGGTATGACGTGGTAAATTATATATTCACCAGCAACTGCGTCTGAATAATGGATCTTCCTTCGGCGCGAATGGCATCGAGAAGCGTTATTGATCACCGAAATATCAAAAGTAGGCGTATCCATCACCCGCTCGGACCACCGCACGTTATCCACCACCGACAAGAGAAAGAGTGTGCGTGTCGAAACGTTCACTCTTGCCAACAAACGTGTTCCAATGGACGATGGACGGACGGACGGACGGACGGGTGGATGGACGGATGGACGGACGGATGGACGGACGGACGGACGGGTGGAATGTTCGTTCGTTCGCTCGTTCCGAGTCTCTGCCGACAATAAAATCGATTTTTCATGCGGGGCATTTATCATGGGTTCCTTCGCGGCTGATAATAGACGCACGTGGAAATACCATATAAATGTTTCGAAGTAAATAATCGTTACTCTACGGGTTCGTATGGTTTACCTTCGATGTGCGCGAGCAACAACGTGCTAACGATCGATTTGTCTCCGTATCACGTATTCGTTACACCTCCACCGATACTTAGTTCACTATGTATCTATCTATGTATTACATATCAGTATGTAACTTTACACCTTGGTAGTATTTATATTTACTGACTGTATACATATATATATATTTCAAGTTAATTATAATAAAAATCATTTTGTTTTTCTATGGTCACAGAGAAAAAAAAATGTCGAACTTGATCGATCATAAAACCAAAGATACTCGAATTAGGATAAGGAAATAATGCTTGTTGTCCGAGGGTTTGACATTGGAGTATGCAGATCTCCGTCATCGATAGAACGCACGTGCGAGTTAGAAATAGAGCCTCTTCTCACCGAGATAAGGGTAGATTGATCGTTTATGAATCTACCGAATCGCTATTGTATTGAACGATAATCGCTCGGTTCTGTAACACTTGTCGCAGTACTACGATTTCAATGATCTCAAATCTTGCTCCGATTCGGACATCCTAAAAGGGGAGCGCCACTTTAGTCCTGGCACCCTTGATATCAGCGGGATACTAATCGCTTTTCCTGTCGCGTTAGCTTCAAAATTCGACGAGATGAACATTTTCTTTTTTTTTTACAAAAATGATTTTTTACGAATTAACTTAAACGCTACTGGAATTATAAATTGTGATAACAAGGTAGATATCGATTATCTAAATTAAATATTTTCTCAAAAGAGGAACTCTAAAAAAAAAAGAAAATAAAAGAGAAAAGGTTAATAATTTCATAATTAACCGATTAATTAATCTCTATCAAATATAATAGAAAAGAAAAGGTATGGCAGTTAGGGTGTTGGTTATGTTTATTATCGTAGCAGTGCTCGTTTACAAGGTAGAACTATGCTTGGCCAGGTGGTCGAACGATATACTACTCTTCCAAAACCTTCCGTCAAGGATGACCCCCAGCTGAGAATTCCCCTGGCTTCTTATTTTTATTTCTCACCTCCTACAGCGTTACCTCTTCATCTTTGCGAAGCACACGTACTCGCTCTGTTCCTTCCTAAGACCTCCTTGACCAAGCTCCTTTCTGTTCATCCTTTTTTTTACAATATACAAGTAAATACGTATCTTTTGGCTCGATTATGTAAATCATCTTTACCAGTCGGATTTGCTTAAGCAGGAAGCTATTGTCTTATTTAAAGACGAGACAAGACGGCGAGACGTAACTTTCACCTTTAGTTTTTAATCCATCCGGCATCTGTCTGTAGCTGGAATATTATAGTCACTCTATGGTTACATGTTCACTGTGGTTGTATTGAACAAGTGGTGTATACTGGAGCGGTTGAAATGTAGTTAAAAGTATAATTATCAAATTAGCTGTTTGAATGTCCTTACAGACACACAATCGTGATATTTCTGTGATTCTGTAAGAAAAATTATTCCAGTGACCTAGTGCAGAGAAACGTATCATCATAATAACAAGAATTCGATTGGGATTGAGCTTTATTTTTTTTTTCTATCTTATTTTTTTCTTATTTTTCTTCTACTCGTTCGTCGTCGTTGTCGTCATCGCGAAAGTCATTGGTAGGTGGAGGACTCGGAACCCTTTTGGTTTCTTATTTCCTCATAAATAATTTTAATGACGCACCGTAGCAGTTCAAATATATATAAGGCGGGATCCGAGACCCGTACCTGTAGGCAGCCTTGTATTCTTATTTATTATGTTACCTATACATATATACACGATTATATGCATGCGAGAAGTCGCGGGATATGCCGCGGGATGAGTCTATGAAAAGACGAACGAGAGAACGAACGAGAGAACGAACGAACGAACGAACGAAAGAACGAACGAGTTGCGAACCTGTTTTTTGTCTTTTTATGTTAAGCTTTCTTTTGCCCTCTACGCAACCGAGGCGACTCCAATTAATCAATTTCGAACTTTACTACTATCGTCACCTTACTTCTCTTTTTCCTTTCATATATTATATTTTCTTAACGGACGACTTCTATTAATTTAATTTAACGTTGACATTAAATAACGACCAATAGAAAAAGAAGAAAGAAAATTCCATCATTGTTTCGATTTTAATTATCGAATAAAAAGAATATTTACAAAATGAATTCATCAAAATTATACCTATACGATACGTGAACGTCGTATTGAACGCACATAACTACTATTCTGTTTATTGTATTAGACATAAGAGGAATAATATTAAAACAAAAAAAACTAAAATTCTAAAATTCGATAATAAACATTTGTGAATTGAGCAAAGGAAGAAAGTAGTTTTTAAAGGCAACCCATGAGAGTCGTGCGAAACGCACGCTTAAGCGCATGCTTGAGCGCACGCCAAAGCGCATGCCAAAGCGCATGCCAAAGCGCACGCTAAAACCAATAGAAGGATTTTGGCGACCGCGTGGCGGCACTGCTGTCGGTACTCGGAGTGGAATAGGCGTGGCTTAAATGGGCCAATCAGTGGCAAGTATTATAGCGCCGTCTAAATTGGACGGAGATGAAAAGTGACACGCCTCCGTGGCCTCCTACCACCAGTTGGAAGCTTCCTATGGTTTTCTGTTCGATTCGATTCAAACTCTACTCGCGGACGTTGCGTTTCGCGCAACGGTTGTGTGTGCGCGCGCCAAACTCTACGCCAAAAATTATTTTGGATTTGTCAGTGACACTTTTCGCGATACCGCCATCCCAGAAATGGCCCGTCGCGAGTATTTTATTTTGTGATTTTTCACAGTTCTACAATTGTACGGTGTTGTTGTACGGTGTCCCACAGGGTTCATCTTCGGTCCTTTTAAGGTCCATTGACCACCAGTCTTCCAGAAAATACAATTATGAAGGTACGGTCGACTTATAATATGTTTATACCAACGCCTATACCTGAGCTTCATTTAAATGAAAGTCTATTATCTTCTTTGTTAGAATATATTTATTTGTATTGGTCACACAGGGTCCATCGTAGGTTAAATTATGTCAAAAGGGATCTTTCAAGATATTCCAATTTCGATTATCGTTAATTTGATCAAATTAACAGTGCACGCAATTATTGCTTCAGCGTATGATTGAGTTGTCATTTTGGGTATATACACGTGACGTTGATTTCAATGTTTTTAAGTATTATCAAATATTTTGACACCCTATAGATTACAATACGTGGGAAGCTTGATGAGGTTGACAAATGGCGTCGGTGGACAAGAGTTGTCTAGTTTTACACGATGAACGATAAGAACAAAATTTTGTAACGCTCCTAGGAATGATTTAAAAGGATAAAAGTAAAACGCGTTTTTATGAGGACAATTTGACGCATAACTTGTGGCATTTTGATATTACGCGTTAACTCTTATCTTATCTTTAATATTTAATCATGATGGTCTTGTGTCATGATTCTCATTATGTTATTAGATTATTAGGTGTTTGTGATTTTTTAAAAGTTTTAGGACTTCTTCGTTGACAATATAAATGAAAGTTTGGTGGTGTTGGTGCATTGCATCCGGTTTAACAGATATCTATAGATGCATACTCGCGTTCATCTTTCGTTGTTCACAGTGTTCCCTGTGAGACAGTTCCACAACCCACACGAGAAGGTGTGGGCTAAAGTTCCGTCGCAGCTACAGTACGACGTGTGTGGTCCAGTAAATTCTCCAAGTAAATTCTCGACGTAAATTCTCGACGTAAATTCTCAACGTAAAGCGCAAAATGGCGACTGGACATCAGCCTTATCCGAAGTTATAACGGCTTCGCGGTTTTTAGCTTGTCGCGCTTTGCCCTCCTCTATAGGATTTGCTTTCAAATATCTTATGGGAGTACGTACGAATGTACGTACAACGCGAGCAACGTGTTCCTTCTCCTCGCTATGAACTATGATTATTCTAATCCTTTTATATTTTTTATTTTAAACTTATTTTAATAGATATTTATTTCTTTTTATATTACGAGTTTAACTAACATTTTATTTCTATTCAATTATTAAATATACATAGACTTACATATATATATATGTTTTGTCATTCTTTTTATAAAACTGTTTGTAGAAGTAATATTTGTATTAAAATCATTTATTAAGTTATAAAACTGACCGAAAATGTTGACATCCAAATTCGAAAGATCAGGATAACAAAAAAATGAATGTGCTTTGATCGTCAACACGTCGTATTCCTTTCAAAATTCCCAGAAAACGTTGACTTTTACGGTGTTATAAAATGATAATAAAGCGTAGGATCGAGGACAAAGCCATGTGAAAAATATGTAAATGACTCTCTCTCTCTCTCACTCTCTCTCTCTCTTTTTATTCTTTTTCCTTCGAAACTGCACTGCGACGATGAATTAATAATGGGCAAGAGACGAACTCACGCACACGAGGATGCGCGTTTGTGCCAGGCCAATGCGGTTATGCTAATCGGTAGAACGATTTTATTTCTCTAAGCCACACGAGTGGGAATTTTGCTACGTCGATGACAAAGTGCTTCTTGGATCGGAGACAAATAAAACAATATTAACAAACAAACAAAAAAAGACAGCTTAAAAGAACAAGTAATACGTAACACCTTTTATAATCATTCATTTGTAGGAAACGTAAAGTATTAAAAACGATTGAAAATGAAAGATTATTTTAAAAAAAGAAAAAAAAAACACAAAAAAAGAAATAATTTTCGCTGCTAATTTCTCTAATGATCAAGATGTAGAGTTTTCAACAATAAAATAGAAATAGTACGAAGAAAGGCACACTATACCAGTTTCCACGAGCAAATGACATTAGAAAGGTTCCTATACAAATCAAGAATCAAAGTATCACCTCGAATTCGAGGGCTTACAAATTCGTGGGGCGTGTAAACTTAAACTATCCGAAGAAAAGAGTGTAGGAATAAGGGAAAATAGGAAAATGAGAAAGAAAGATAGAAAGAGGAGGAGCAGGATAAAGCATTCGGTACACAGTATTGTTACGGCTCATTCGTTCCTTTGGCAAAGATCGTTCATCGGTTTTGGTCGCGTGGTTAATACGTGGTCCGAGTTAATCGTGAAACGGATTCTCAATAGAATTATATAGAGGAGAAGAGAAGTTTCTATCTCTTTTTCTCTCTCGCAATGGCAGCAGCAACAGCAGCAGCAGCAGCAGCAGGAGCAGCAAAAGCAGAAGCAGCAGCAACCACAGCTTCTCTTTCTATTCCTCGAATGTTCACAATAAAAGAAGAAAAACGACGAGACCGCTGACATTGTCCGCGTAAAAGCAAAAATCGGATGATGATTTAAATGGATTTCGAGTGGCCGGCGTTTTACACATTCTCTGTCTTTCTCCCATGAAAGGTAGAACAAGCCTAAAGAAGCGAAGAAAAAGAAGAAGGAGAAACACCATAGATACCTGCGGAGAGTTTCACCATAGGGGCCTATCTCTTCTACGAATAAGGCACGAAGAAGAAGCTCGTGCCCTTCTCTCTCTCGTAGGGTAACACACGAAAGTCCCTTCGAGAGATACAAAAAGTTTACAAGTATTATTTTCACCATCTCCCTTTCTCTCTCTCTCTCTCTCTCTCTCTCTCTCTCTCTCTCTCTCTCTCTCTCACTCTTATATTAGTATCCTCGTCTTAGCTGCAAGAACTCTACAAGGATACCCGTAGCGGACCACTTTGTCAACTTGTCACCTGGACTCGCCTCAGATACGCAAAAAGAAACCGAGAGTCGCTCTTTTTCGCACCAGGAAGTCCAGAGATATTTTTTTCCTTCCCTTTTTCATTTGGAATCAAAGCGAAGTAGAGGAGTAATGGGAATCGGAGTGGGTGTGAGAATACGCAGAGAAGAAAACTAGATAGTAATGTATTACTAATCCGATATTAAAGAAGACAACTTCAACTTATAAATTGATGCTCGCCTATTGGTTTTCATTTATTTCAGAATTTAACGTTGAATTGTCGATAACCTATAAGGAAGTCTTAGCATGTTATGTAGAGTATTTATGCGTATACATTTTGATATCGGATGGATAATCGGATAATCATATGAAATCCCAAAGGAATAATCCTACTTTCCCAGCTACAACAAATTCTAAATTGAAACACATATTCGCGTTGGTCTCCTTTCATACGCGCTTTTATACAAAATGGTCATGAAGCCACCATTTCTATCATTCGAGTGGATTTCAGTCCCCTTTTTCAAGAGGGTAAGAAAGAGGGGCCTTAGTGGGTATGACTTTCAAAGCTTAAAGCCGATCAACAGGGGGTCTAACAGGCTCCCTATGAAGGGCCCAGGTCTGTCCTATGATTCTCCGTGCTCCCTGTCATTTTGGGTTCGCGACACGATTCCCATTGTAAACGATACTTATTTTCCCGCAAACCGAATATATAGCTAGAAAAGAAATAGAAGAATAAAAAGGTCTCCAGCTATACATGTGTTATACACTTTTAATGTAGTCCAATGATATTTAGTTAGTTTTAAAAAAAAGTCATCTTTTAAATAATAAGAATTAACAGATAAATTTTTAAGTAATCTTCATTTTCATCTGTTAGTTTAATAAAAGTCAAATCCTATTATAAAATCGAGATTATATATTTGTAGTATCTAAGTAATATTATTTGGACATAAAACAGCGAAGATCTATGAGAATAAGTGAAAATATTCGGCGATAAGACTTAAGTTTGACTCTTAGCGTAGGCACGTAATTCATATCTGATATACAGTATATTAGACGGATAATGAAAAGAAGTCTAATCCTCCGTTTTACGACCCTGACTCGCATGCGAGCAGGGGTCATTATTGTCGTCTATAACTCTCCGAAAGCCGAGCCTTTGGAAGCTAGCGTGGGTGCGGTACTAGAGTTATTCCAAGCTCGCAAACCAAGTGGCAAGTGCAATTTCCGATATTTATTATACCCTATTACACTATTGTGAATCTGTTCTAATCGAATCAAATACATGTAAGAGCTCGCGTATATGTAACTTCTTCTTATTATTTCATCTGAAAATAATAGATAATAATGATTGTCAAACGTTTCCGAGGTTAAAGTCTCTTGATCGAATCTAACGTTTCTTTGGATCGTACTTTAAACATCTGTTTGTGGAGGTTATTTTACACGAAGCAACGTTAGGACGTTCTATCATCTGAACCAATAGCCAACGAGTACCGAGCAACGGGTGGTAACTGCAGCCGGTTCGACGTGCGAACATTTGGTTGGTTATGGTTGCTGGTTAACCGTACGTCACAGTTCCACAAGGGTGTGCGGAGTTACATAATGTCATTGTAATGTGATACACGCGTTAGCAGCTTCCTACGAAGTAGGCATTATGCACATACACGTAGAATATGTTTGTATCGGTACTCCTTACACGCGTATACGTTGAAAGAATTCTAAGAGCATGGCTTCCAAAGCAAATACGTGTGTACCGTGATACGAGCCACCCCGTAGTAGCCACAGTCCCAACCCCTCTTTCGTCTCCGAGCCATTTGTAATGCATTGGATTCCACTCGTAAAGTTCGTTCCGAGCGTGCGACAGACCTGTCAGGGGCGTGATTTTCTGGGGGAAAATCTAGGGGTGGGGGTAAACATCCCGCGACACCCTGTCCTTTGTTATTATATTCCTCGTCATTCGTCAGATCGGCTTTTCTCGCTTCGTTGCCGACTTTTGGAATCGAACGGTAAACCCTGCGATTTCTCGCGCACATATTCTTAATAAGAAATATATCAATGTAAACCCGTTATTACGCGGGGAGTTGATAAATTCATGAAAGATAATCGTTCACGTTGGGATAAAGATAGATGAAGAGGGTAGGTTCTGACAAGGCACTCATCTCGTGCAACAATTGAAAGAATGCACCCTGCTATGCCTTGTTTCCGTCAACCAGCTGTTTATCCGTCAGACTCGTTGAGATCGTCTTTCCAACTAATACTCGTAAATTCGTAAAAATTTCAGTATTAACAAATAATTATTAAAAAAATAAGAAAACCCCTAGTGACATTGAAATGAAATAAAAATGAAGATGGAATACCGATTGTAATCCATCCTGATGAGAAAAAGATATGTAGTTGATTTTTCTCGGCCCGGTTAACCGATCAAAAATATGCTCAACATCCAGAACGAAAGGGTATTGTCAGAAAACGTAGGAAAGAGTCGCATCCATCAAAGTACCATCCTTCATACTTTCGTGACACGTTGAATTTCACCGATCGAGTCTGCATTTATTATACAGGGTGGGACAATACGATCTGTACGAGTCGCAGACGGAGGTTTGTATTTTTGTAATGCGTGAAAGGCTTGCTTTTGTACGTCTAACGTTTCTTTTCTTTTTTTTTTTCTTTTTCTTTTTCTCTTCGATTGCATGACAAACGACCAGTGTGTGTTATTTTAGTAAAAATTATTGTCTTAAAAACTTGTGTTATTAATGTTCAATTGTTTTTCGAAAATATACAAATAAAAAAAAACATTGGATCTCTTGTGCTTATTTATAGACGGAAGTTGAGGATGTGAACGGCGATGGCGTGTGCGAAGGTACAGGTCCGAGTCTGGGCCCGACGGAAAGCACCGGTGGCCTCATCGGATCGGACATGTCCCCTGGTGTAATGGAGTGCGGTGGATGCGGCGAACGCGTCCGAGAACGAACTATTTTGTGCGTTGGCGGGCGTACATGGCACTCGAGGTGTCTTAGGTGTTGTGCTTGTGCCAGACCGTTGCACGATCAACACTCTTGTTTCTTAAGGGGCATGCGACTCTACTGCAGGCACGACTACGCTTTGTAAGTCATTTACTATTCTTCATTTTTATATTTTTGCCCACTAGGCCAAAGAAAAATCTTAACAAATCTTCTATTAGCCGGTTTGTTTACCTAATAAAAGTAGAAGAAGATACTCGTTTGTTCTATATATCCAAAAAAATCGTCATTTTTTTTAATTGACCATACTTGGCCGTGAACACACTTAGATGAAAATTATTGGGTGCCAGAGATTTTCTTACTTTTAATCTAAACGATAGACCGGTTAGTCCGGCAACCTTGTAGAATGCGAAACGTTTGAGAATCGAGTATCGTTGTCCTTCCGATGATACAGATATAGGGTTTAACCAATACACCTATTACTTGAGAACGTATACGTTGTTAGGTATAATATGTGCCGCTCATTAAGCAAACGCAGTTAAGTCGAATCTCAGGATCTTCGTTGACCAATAAAAGGGAGTATTTTGTGGAGGACATAAATCGAGAGGGAACACAACGTGTAATTGGCACCGTTATCGAACCCGCGTTTCGATTCATATACGAGATATCTCTTGGCTTTTCTCGATTTAGTGCCCTACCTGACAGAAACGTAATCGAAATGGATTCGATTAGATGTGTGTGTGTGTGTGTGTGTTTGTACGTGTACGCGAGTCTATAGTTATGAAAGAAAAAAAGAACGAGTGAGGAACTGCCGTGTATCAAAATATGTTACGTCTCTTCTTTCTAATATTACTATTGGCGTAAATAATTATTCACTAATCCGATGTATGAGAAAAGATAAAACAGTCATATTTGGTTTACTTACATTTTGCTAAGGCTGCGTTAACGACACTTTAATTAGGATACTCGTGTGTAATTTGATTGCGCACGTTGCGCGTTAAATGTTGTCAGAATATTTCACGCGAAAGAAAATAATATTAGAAGATACGTTTGCTTATATAAATGATGAACTTTGGCATAGAAATGTTCGTTACAGGAGATGAAAAAAAGGAGCATGCGTGATCCCGCTAGTAGCCTCGTGTGTATGGACGTATATCTTTTTCTCTTTTTTTTTTTTTGTTCTCTCTTCTCTCGCATAGGACTTCGAAGAGCTCGAAATGACTCATCGATTGTATAGACGATCCTCGAGCAAAGACTTCCCAACGTGTTTATCCAACTGTCAATCAGTTAGCACAGTCACCTGGCCGGCTCACCAATATATTGCTGATACTTGACCAAAGTCAAGTATCGTGATATCCGATCGCGACGGATATCAAGCTCGATATCGTTGTCGGCATTATCAAACGGAAAAATCGACGAAAAGGGAATAGTAGAAATAACAACAGAGTCAACGAACAAAATCTTAACTCAATTGACAGTCGGAAATGTTCTGTTAGATTGACAATCCATGTGTAATGAGAAATTATGAACCCGATGAAAGCTATTTTTTTCGGACGATATTTCAATAGAGGAATGTGAAAGATTCGAATTTCGGATCGATCGTTGAAATATTTTCAAACAATATTTTACGTTTGATTATCATAGATCGACATTTATCAAGGAATATAAAGTACACGGTGCGAGAATAATAATTAATAAGTTTTACGAATAAGAAATGGGCACGGTTTTACGGGAAGAACGAACATGCGGGAGGTCCCGAGGAATCTGCCACGTAATTTTTTGACTCGTGCTTTTCGCCTCGTAATGCTGCCTTACGATGACCCGGTCGACGAGATCCACGACCCGTAGAGTCGTCGACAAGAAGGGATTTCGAAAGATCCGACCTCTCTTACTTCCCTCTCTCCCTCTAGTCTGATAAATGATTCAAAACTATATACTGACGCGACATTAACGCGTACTTTTTTCCCTTAACGATTCCAAAAAAATCCCACAAATTGAACTTTAATATTAGACGAAAATTTTCTTTGCGGATGATGGGAAAGATCGATGAAACATTTGATGATAGGGAAAAGGTTAGTACTCTTTTGGGGCCAGGTACCAGCACCACCAGCACCACCCTGGAGGTGTCAGGCCCACCAGGGTAGTCGCGTGGCCTCATAAGATATCCCAGCGTGGGGGCGGAAGGGTCTGACTTGCGTCCCTTCATGCTTAGAACGTTCGTTCGCTTAGTCCGGCGAAACCGGACGAGGAATCGGGATGCACTTTCCGTGTTCATGAATATGATAATGGGCTAATGGCTGGCTAGTCGTTGTTTAATTACCGCTCGAAGCACACACATCGAGTTAAGAAAGGAGTAGGAGGTGGAGGAGGAGGTGGAGAAGGAGGAGGAATTGGTGGGGAAAGATTCTCCAGTGCCATTCATCTAGCTATACGTGCTATACGTGCGTGTGTCGTGTAGCACGCTCGTGTCGCTGCCGGTACATGGCTACCGTTTACATCGAACCCCTACCTTTTTATCTTGATTTTATTTTTTATTTCTTCTTTTCTTCTTATAGATGCAAGGAGTTTACCCCAAAAATTAAAAAACAAATCATTTTATTTATTCTTAAATTGAACGCGAACTTAATAAACAAATTATACATTTGTATTAATTTTGTAATTATCACAAAACAGTATCGATTGTTCTAAACTACTTCTTCTTTCAAATGTATTAACTATTTTTTTATTCAAAGACATTCCGCGAAACGAATATTCATCATATTGTTCGATTATATTAATAATGGTCATTAATAAAATATAAAAGAAAAAATATATAAGAATTAATTACAAGCAATCTTCGAAGAAGTTATATACAAGTAGATACTGCAACTATAAAGGAATACACTTATAGAGGAACGATCTCAGTTCGCTTTTCACGTGCTAAAGGAGATAATAAATGACCGTGAAACACGCGGGACATTGGTCGTTGCTACTTACTTCCAGTAAGACTGTCTCCAGTCTTTTTAAAAACATTTGTTTATTTGTCGCAAGAGTAAGAAGTCGTATCTTCGGTGGACTATTCCTTCTCCCCAACTAAACAGGGTCTTATCTAATCGCGCGAGTGGAACTTGGAGAACCAAAAGAAACCTGCGAAATCGTTTCTTTTCTTCTTCTTCTTCTTATTCCTCTTCTATTTGTTTCTTTTTGTCAACGAAGAAGCTCAACAGATTACGAGCGGCTTTCATTTAACAGCAATACACCCCCTTACGATCCTTCCCCTTGTCTTACGCTTTCTACTTCACGAGTATATCGGTAATTAATGCGAAAAAAGGATCCCTTTGCTCTCCTCTAAATGCCAAAGGGTCTCTACCGAATGAAAATACAAAAAAGAATTTACAAAATGTTCAAATCCTTTATTTAACTATGCTCATTATTTTGTGCTTTTCTTTTTTTTTTTTTTTTAACCATTTGTGATATAAGTTATACACATATTTTCCATCGTTTTGCGATCATCATAAATCGAAGACCATTAAATTGATTAGAACATAAATGCGTGCATCGATAATGGATTTAAGTTCATGCGCGTAAGATTTTTGTAAGCGACGATCCCTGATAAATCGCAATGGATATATTCCAGTAAGCACGCGACTCTACTAAACATTTTTCTCTTTCGTTATTTCTTTTTTTCTTTTTTTTTTTTTCTCTTTAATCCTTCTATGCAGCTGCGAATTCGTTTTATTTATCAATGCCGGATGTTCTCTTCAATACGAACGACTAAAAATAATATTCCCCCATTGCATTATCATACCCCAGCATGCATATTTTGTTTTTTTTTTCTTTTTTCTTTTCAAATAAATAGATAAAAAATATACACGTCGACTGTGTGTGTGTGTGTGTATCGTTATTAAATCGTCACGAACTTTTCGGGCAACTTAATACAAACTTTGCGTAGAAATTGTTTTTGAAAAAAATATAATAATATGTTTTCAGAACATTCGGAGCAAAATGTGCGAAATGTGGACGAAGCGTAGGCGCAGGCGATTGGGTTAGAAGAGCCCGAGAACGGGTTTATCATTTAGCTTGTTTTGCCTGCGACGCCTGTTCACGTCAATTGTCAACTGGGGAGCAATTCGCTCTCCTAGATGCACGTTTACTCTGCAAAGCTCACTATTTGGATGTCATCGAAGGCAACAACACTTCATCCGATGGTGAGATTGCTCACGAATTATAGTCAATCAATTTTTATAAACGCATTAACTTTCATTTTCATTACAAATCTCTCATACTCGAATGATTAAATTATAAATGAAAGTACCTTAAATCATATTAGAAATTAATGTATTAAGTTGGCCAATAAGTTTGTGCGGTTTTTTTTTCTGATTCCAAATTTTCCTAATAAATCATTTATTGGTCTACCCCTTATAATATAGGGTGTCAGACGTTCATCCGTACAAACGCATTGTGTGTTCTAAGAAATAAGAACAAAATGTTCACGAATAACGATATAAGAATGTATCCGATACAATGTAAACGAAAAAAGTTCTTTTGCATAGAAAAAACCGTTTGAAAATATTTATCTAAATTCACTCACGTTGGTTAATGAAAATTCTATTGCATTTAGCGATCATGGTCATTTTTAATCGTCACACAGTTAAAAAATGTTCACATTTATTCTGATAATCAAGCACACAAGGGAGCAAAACTAATGAATACTTTCGCAGAAGGCGGTGACTCCGAGAGCGGTCACAAGGGTGGTAACAAAGCAAAGAGGGTAAGGACAACATTCACCGAGGAACAACTTTCCGTTCTCCAAGCTAATTTCCAGTTGGACAGCAATCCTGATGGGCAGGACTTAGAAAGGATAGCACACGTGACTGGACTAAGCAAAAGGGTCACGCAAGTATGGTTTCAAAATTCAAGAGCGAGGCAAAAGAAACATCTTCATACGGGAAAAATGAAAGGCCAGCACGGTATTAATCAAGAATATTTCAAATTTCAACTTTTTTTCTCGATCGATCTCTTTCTTTTTTTACACCAATAGTATTTTACATTTGAATAATCGATCATATAATTTAATTTTTTTTTTTTTTTTATATCGATTATTACAGTACACCAATCCCCACCAAATTCTACAACATCACCGGCTGACTTTAGTCGACACATCAATTTACACCTGACCTATTCCTTTCAACATCAGCAACATCAGCACAGTCAGCAACCGGTGCAACTCAGTCCAGCTGTCTGTAAAAGTCCCACGCCTTCGATTTATCATAATCATGGTATGCCAACGAATCTTAGAAAATTGTCAAATAAATGGTTGTTCATTTCAACGACGAGATTTTTTCGAAACGACCTACAATAACAAAAAAAAAACCAACTTTTATTCGAGCTCTGCATGCTTTTGTTCTTCCTATTTTTAGGTTCGGAACAATCAATGGATGAACTCTCGCAAGATTCCATGATGTTATCGATGCCGAACGAAGTATAATTGGCGCCGTTGGATCGATTTAAGTATTTGTATATACTCTTTTATCTTTTTCTTATCTTTCGAATATATATATTAGCTTTCGTTCTAACGCTAATTCCGGATGGACCATCCAACGGCGCGTTGTATTTTCATTTATCTTAGAACTCGACAAGATCTAAGGTATACTTTCCATCCTTTATTTTTCTCTTTAAATGCCTACTTGTTTTTAGCATAAGTGGTGGATTTGAAAAAAAAATAAGTTCGTTTAACTAATCCAATTGTATAGGATATTAGAGAGAGAGGCTATTAGAGCCGATTTTTTGTTTTTTTTCTTAATTTCGGACAATTTTGTCAAGAATTTCGAAAGTAGATTCGATTCGTTAATGAAAACGTGCCAATTATCACTCGAAACTCGATAACGAACTCGTAATATCTAAATCAATCATTTTTTTTTAAAGATGAAATCATCAAAAAAAAAAAAAACAAAAATCCAGACATCTATAGAAATTATTTATGAATCTATATAGTCTATTATATAGATGATAATTTTATAAGTAAATCGATGAAGTAATCGCGACAACTATGGATCATTCGATGATCGATCGATAATGATCTATAGATTACGGGATTGGCGAATTGGAATTCGTTTTTGTCCATGCTCTACAAGAATATTGCTAACAAAATATAGAGTTCCATCGATGACTTTGAAATTTCATTAAAAAATGGCTTCGACCCTCCTGCGATAATGCAAAGGAGAGATATTTAGGTGTCCTGTACATAAATAATTTGATTTGTAAATCGTTCGATCTTTATCTGATAAATTTTCATTGGTTCTCATAAATCTATAAAAAATGTAAATCTTTTACATTTATTCGAAAGAAAATCAACCTGAAACAAGGTTGTAATAGTTGATGTCATTTTGAATGACGTCACGAAGCAATATTCCCAGTGAAAGTATCTTTTGCAATACTTACAATTAGAGAACGAAAAATGCTGTAATGATTTTATTTAATATAAATGTACTATGATGTAAATATTGTAAACTATGCTGATATAAAATATACGGTTGAGTATACAAACACGCAAATAGATATATGTATATGTATACATATATAAAAATACCTACAGTACCTGAAAATCCTTAAAACGAACATTCCTATATTTTTTACTCATTCGCAAAACGGTTTAAGGTACTTGCTTTTATTAATTATTATATTTGTTAGAGAAATATAAAGAACAAAAAATTAATGCCAATAACGTAAATGCATGTATTGTATAACAGCAAAAAGACATTTTTATTATTAACAATATGGCTTACAACATTGCAATGATAAAATGTGCAAGAACGTTATCTTACATATTATTATCGCACATTATTTAAGGAGATTTTTTATGTACAAAAGAGGTTCGATAAGAATGGAAGAAGAGGGTGGATTTGATTTATTTACAATCTTATTTATATAAAAAATATCAAAGCAAGTTTACTTATACGTATCTTCTTCTTCTTCTTCTTCTTCTTTCTCTTCTTTAAACTTATTTTAATTCATACAAATTCGTTTTTCGTCTTTCATTCTTGTTAGATGAAGGATAATAATAAGAAATTTCATTTCGTTCATTATTTTTACGTGTATACCTCTTTTCTCTTTTTATTATTAATATTTTCTTCTTCGAAATTTTCACCGATATAAATCGCTGACGTCAAATAAATAAAAATCGAAAGCTCGTTTATGATATTAAACTATTAGGGTTGTCGAGAAAGTTCGTGCGGATCTGTAAACAGATATAAATACTTAGTATATATATATTAATTTTAATATAAATTACAACAATATTAAAAAAGTGCATAATAAATTAATTCAATTTATAATATTTTTAAATTTTTGTCAATATAATTTTCTCTTTTTCTAAAAATAAATATCATATATATATATATATATATATATATAAATTTAGCACGAATTTTTCCGAAGAAACTCAACAAAACCTTTTACCACCGATCATTCTTTTTTTTTAACTCGGCTCTCGTCTTATTTTTCTCTATGTACATATTATATATATATATATAAAAAAAAAAAAAGATCAGCAAAAAAGCATCGGGTAGATTTTTATCCCGCCTGATGACAAAATTGTGGCTGATGATGAGTAGGAGTGGTTGGTGTTAAGGGTGTCATTGGTGTCAGTGGAGTTAATGGACTTCCGGGACTTTCGCTTCCGGCACTGCCACCTTGGTAACCACCTAAGTAGGCTCCGACAACGCTCACCCCACTGGTATACAATTCCGTTGGGTGATGCATTGGCGGTGAATGGTGCACTGTGAAAATAACCAAATGCTCGTCGAATTATGGAATCATGTTCCATTGAATTATACCACAATACGCGAATACCATGAGAGAGAGAAGCTCGAAAACAAATTCAATGAAATAAATATGAAAAAAACTCACTTTGAGTTTTAATTTTTCCGCTGTGTTTCTTCTGCCTTGCCCTAGAATTTTGAAACCAAACTTGGGTAACCCTCTTGCTCAGACCAGTTACGTGTGCTATCCTCTCGAGATCCTGACCATCGGGATTACTATCTAATTGAAAATTCGCTTGCAATACGGCAAGTTGATCTTCGGTGAAGGTTGTTCTCACCCTTTTCGTTTTACTACCCTTCCCACCGTGTTCGGAATCACAATCTTCGGAGGAAGAAGTATTATTACCCTCGACCACATCGAGATAATGTGCCTTACATAGTAATCGAGCATCCAACAGTGCAAATTGTTCACCGGTCGATAACTGACGCGAACAAGCATCACAGGCAAAACAAGCCAAATGGTAAACCCTTTCGCGGGCTCTCCTAACCCAATCACCTGCACCAACGCTTCGTCCGCATTTCGCACATTTAGCACCGAATGTTCTGAAACAATACAATTTTTTAAGGGACTCGGTTAACAAAAAAAAAACAACTCCAATTTTCAATGGAAAAAAAGATGATGGAATCGTTTTCACAAATACTCAACGTCAAATAACTATATATAAGGTAACGAAACGCAAACGGGGAAGGGGTGGGGACAAAGGTTCGAGTTTTGTAGCGGAAAGACGAAAAACGTTGAACTTATTTTGATTTCGCGTCTCGCAACAAGCAGGTTCATTGAGGACCGCCGGACCCAACACGGACCCAACACGGTCCTGTCCTCATTAACATACTACGTCCACCAGCGGCCCTTCGAAAGGCGCGCGTCAGAAAGCAGGGGCACCGCATCGTTTAAGAGAGGTTGCCATCGCGATTCGGGAAGTAGATTACGTCGAGATTATCTCGACGTCTCAGTCACGGCTTCAACAAATGATTCGAACCCTTTGATTTTCTACCGACGATGATAGCCCTTTAACGTTCCAATTGTTTATTAAATAACTCAATACGTTATTATATTACTGTTACTTTTTTTTACGAGCCCGCAACCCGTTTATTTTAGTTTTCTACAAACTCTCTGTTGTACTGCCATGCGTGTACAAATTTTACTTGTAATTCTAATCTACCTTTTGAACACTTCACAATATCAAAGTATCCAATTTTCAAACATTTTTCTATTCCAATTATCAAGTTCGTGACATCACAAATTGTACAATAACCTCATTTGAAAATACTTTACATGTAAAATTGGAACATATCAAATTTCCAAGCATTTTAAAGAAAACTTTCGGCCCGTAACTTTCGTACAAAGGAACCTTCAACGTTTTCCTAGTGAAAAGAAAAGAAGAAAAACAGTTGGATGGGATCAAACTGGAAATATAAAAATTCAAAGGGAAGAGCAACCACGCAAAAGAATAAGAAGGAGAAGAAGAAAAAAAAAAGAAAAAAGAATTCATTGGTCCTCCATCGAGAGTAGGGTTATTGTATGGAAAAATATGGTAAGCCAGGGAAGGGATTAGTCTCGGTCCTGTGCACAGTCATCTTCGTATCGAAGATATTTTCGGGGTATTATTGGTTATGTTGATCGTGTAAAGGGCACGCCTAGAAGCCCTGTCTCGGACACCTAGACGAGAGAGAGAGAGAGAGAAAGAGAAAGAGAAAGAAAGAGAGAGAAACAACAGCTACCGCATAGTCGAATCAAATCGCGATATCTTCGAAGAGATTGGGTAAGGTGCCATTTGCATAAACAGTGGCGCCACCCTTTCCCTCTTATACTCTTAACTCGTGAAGGGAGTAAAATAAAGGCCTGTGTAACCAAGGTACAAGAGAGAGAACTGGTATCGGGTATCTATAAATCTTGAGAGTCGTACGTCGGCTACCAAACGGCTCCGCCCTAATTTATTCATTTGTTCTTCGACATAGGCGGGCCCTATAAGTCAACGGAGGATTAAGTCGGATGCTAGCCGACCCCAGTAATGCAGCACTCTCTTACCTACAATCTGCATGCAGATCACGATCACGATGCTCCTACTCGCCGACCGAGGTACACGCCGATCGTGCGACTTGCCGAGTAATTAGCCCTTCCAATGCATTCTTTACGATTTACTATTAAGTGTGTGTTTTCCCTACCTATTTAAACGAAATACGACCAATTGGATAAACTTTTTACCCTCAATAAGATTATCTTCTTCATTACAGTTTATTCTCATTTCGATACAAATTACAAACACAGGGTGAATAGTTGAAATATATTAAGTATGCTAGAATATTTCGTAGAAGACCTTCCTCCTCCTCTCTGTAATGAACCCAAGTTGAATCATTTCGGTCGAAGGTAAAGAACTTGCTAATAGAACAATTTTTGTTCTCTCTTTTCTTTTCTTTTCTTTTTTTTTTCTTTTTTTTTCTCTCCCCCTTTTTTCATTTTTTTTCGTCGGCCCTTACGATAGGGTTAAAGGAGCGCGCTCGATAACGCAAGAGGATGGGTGAAAGTGTCAGTGAATATTTATTAATTTAAAAGGCAGCTCTCGCGACTTGAAAAGCGCCGGGGTCCTTGTGATAGAAAGAGAGAAAAAAGAACGAGGCCCCGAGGACCGGGGCCTTACGAGGCGAATTCCTTAGACCTTTGGAACACTGACACTCGGCAGCCTCGACTCGTGACTCGGCACCCACGTAGTACATGTACAACGTACTGCTAGGATATTTACCCGTTGTTCTTTTTCCCTAAACTACCCTCCCCCCACCCCCTTTTAGAATATCGAAATATTCTATAATAGACCCTTGTCGCGTAAAAGTTTCCTACTAAAACTTATTGTCCTCTAATCTCATTTTCGATTTTAATAATTTATTAAGAAAATTATAAAGTCAATTTTCGTATCTATATGAGAACACAAACGATCCCTAAAAGATGAATGTCTCTGTCTCTCTCCGTTGAAGAATTCCAACCCAATGATCCTTCCTGTTGAATCTCTAGATCCTTAGGATCGCGAATGTTGCGATGATCGAGCATAGATCCCGACGGTCCCGAGACACGGTCCCAAGACACGGTCCCAAGACACGGCCCCAAGACACGGTTCGGCTTTTTCTTCGGGTTCACCGGCATCGGGACACCTTCTACGTCAACGTGACTTCGCAGGTCGTGCACGAGCATGAGTGTACAGTGATGTGAATAGCCGACTGTACGTGAGGTCTGAAGGAGGAGACGACGACAACGACGACAACGATGAAAAAGAATAGGAAAAAGAATAGGAAAAAGAAAAGGAAGAAGATAAAGAAGAAGAAGAAGAAGAAGAAGAAGAAGAAGAAGAAGCATCGAAAGACATTAATCACCCAACGGCAAAGCACTCTTACGTCCAAAGTAACCCACGGTAACAACACATACATATGTGATCTGTAAATCTCTACGTTCATAGATCCGTAAGCCACGTGACCTTTCTTTAGTTATCCATTAACCGATAAGAATTTTCTAACAATTTTCAAATATCACGGAAGAGACGCTACCTATTCATATTTTTAACGATCAATCACATCTCGGATGACAAAGAAAATTTACGTTTTTACTCGTAGAACTATTGAAATCAATTTGAAATTATATATATACGAGTAAAACAATACTACTCATAGGTGGACGTTTACTTGAACGGGATTAATATGCAAAATTGCAATTCCTAATGCAAACTATTGTATAACAAATAATTGACAATGATTTATTTTGAAGACAAAAATATATATTTCACACACACATTATTATTATTATTATTATTATTATTATTATTATTATTATTATTATTATTATTATTATTATTATTATTATGATTATTAAATATTTTTGAAATAATATTAGAAGTAGGTGATACACCAAGAGAAAAAAAAGTAAATGTAGTTCTGTTTTGGAGACGAGCTCCCGTAGTGGTAGCCGAGAAACGTCTTCTTAAGATCGGCTTTGGGCACCGTCCTCGAATCAGCAGGGCGCCACACTGCGCGCCTTCTTCGATACGAACGAATATTATTGGCTTCCATCGATAATCCGTAATCCAACTACTGGATCGCCTACTACCGGCCGAATATCCTGCGTTATCCCGTTCTCCTTATGAATGGAACGCAACCGAGAAACGGATGTAATCGTATATCATCAGGATCAACGGACAACAAATTGTTAAAAAGAGGAGATAACAAAAATGTTGTATAATTTTCTTTATTTTCCTATTCGAAGGTTTTCGTTCATTCGGTATGATCGAATTCGGTTCGAGTAAAATATGATCGAATAGTTATTTCAAATAACTGATATGATACGAAATTGTTATTGCTTTTTTCACCAGGGTATAAAAGAGATAGTCAATGTGATTAAAAAAAAAGGGAAAAACTCGAAATTCCGATCTAGATAATTCCAAATCAAAATGACGATTAAAACAAAGCGTTAAAATCAACTTACAAAGCGTAATCTTGTCGACAATAGAGTCTCATTCCTCGAAGAAAACAGGAGTGTTGATCATGCAGGGGTCTGGCACAGGCGCAACACTTGAGGCATCTCGAGTGCCATGTTCGACCCCCAACACATAGAACGGTACGTTCTCGGACACTTTCTCCGCAACCGCCACAATCCATTTCCATGTTATCCTGTTGTTGACCATTTTCTTTAACACCAATACCACTCCCAGCCATAATAGTACCCTTCGTCAACGCAGTTGCATTGTTTCCTTTCTTACCAGACCCATGACAGTTGTTGTTGTTGTTGTTGTTGTTAATATTATTATTATTATTCTGAGTGTTGCTTTTGTTGTTGTTGTTATTGGCACTGATGTTGTTGTTGTTGTTGGTAGAGCAGATCATGCTATCCGAACACTCGCTGTCTATTTCCAATTCGGCCTAAAAAAAGAAAATAAACGAATTGAAATGAATTTCGAATCGAAGAGCAATAAATATGTATGAGATATTTGATAAATTTGGGTGGAACGTTTATAGATTGAATATATGGAGAATCGAGGAGGATGAAATTCGATAGGATTTATTATTCGATCCATAAAATCAGTATGTCGTCGGTTTGATTTGGTAATAAAATTGAATCGTTCGCGTTGCTGTAAGGCCAGCTGACTGGGCACCAGCTTGAAAAGAATTCCAAGTAGTCCGTTAAACGCGAGAAACCGTTCCAATAACAACCAGTATGCAGTTTATTCACGAACAAAGCGTGGAAAATCGAAAAGCAAATCTAACGTTGTTAGTTCCTTTTTTATTTTATTTTCTAAATAGCCTTTTGTGTGTGTCGAGAGCAAGTTTCCGGGTTGTGTAAGATAAGTCGCATCGAGTCTTTTGCTGCGGGCTCCAAATCTCAATTAATATAGGTACGAGGAAAAAGAAAAATAATCAACCGAGGAGTCTGAAGCCTCTCTCGAGTTGATAAATGACGTTGCTCTCCCTAGCCAGGATACCAAAGTATGCGTGGGGATAGCTATAGTTTTGCCATTTGTGCTTTGCTCCTGGCTAAGGAGAAGAAAATCATGCTACGTGTTACACCAGAGTGCTTAACCTAAAAAAACCCTACGTCCCACGCTTACCCTGTTTGCTAAGCTAACTTCTTACAAACAGATACCTATCCTTTAGGTCAATCTAAGTGATTAAACGATACAGTGTTTCGTTAACTAATCGAATAACTCTGCTTTATTACAAAACCTCATTTTCGACAATTTCATTGCAACCTATTCTAAAAATACGAAAATAACATTTTGACACGATACATTATTCAAATTACATATGTAATTTGACGTGAAAGTAATTCGACGAATTTCTATGATAGATTTGAAATGAAATTTACCAATGGATAAAAAAGATCGATGCAAAAAATAAGCTTTGCTTAAGAATTTCGATATTGGGAATAAATAAAAAGGTTGATACATCGAAGACAGGCAATTTTCAATAGAAAAAGAAGTAGAGGAAGAGAGAGAGAGAGAGAGAGAGAGGATCCGACGGGTCTTAATATTATTTTTTATTTTGTTCATTTGTTTCTCTTTCTATTCCTCGTTCGTTCTGTCCGTTCCACGTCGAGTGGTAATCATTTCACGTATAACTGGACGGCCATTGATTTATGATCTGCCGAAGGCAAAGTCGAACTTCCCACCTGTGATTTATGCCCTCTAGCTTTTCGATATGCTGACGGAAAGATTCAGTGACGTCGATTCTTTTAAGATGATTTTTCTCCTCGTCTCTTTCTTCCCCTTTCTTTTTTCACACCTTCCTTCGATCATCAACTATTTAACGTCAACACCGATCGACAAAAATCTATCGACTGTACAACGTAACACAGGATATTCGTATTATGATTTAAAAAGATTTTCCTTCAGGTAACACCACCACACATTTATACATAAATATAAAATTTATACACTTTCAAGAAATTTCTACGTACAATTTCGTGATACTCTTTCATCATTTAATATTATACATTTTAATAGAATTAAAGAAAAAAAAAGAGAAGGAAAAATCTTTACCTGCTGCAAGGATTACTAAAATATCTTAGGCAGTTGGAACTTTTACTTTAAGAAACGAGATGAGAAAAGGAGATGAATGTAGGACAAGAAAATCCTGTTTAGAAAGAGAAATCTATTATATTTTAACTGATTTCCGAGTAAAATCAAGGATACAACTTACAACAGGTTAACCCAACTAAAAAACAGGTTAACCAACCTAAAAAACCTTAAAAAATCTTTCCTACAGGACGAACATTAACTTTCTCTTCAAAAATAATTCGATGATTTGTAACTGTGTGAATCTATTTTTAAATATTTTAAGATAGTATAAAAAATATACCGCTAAGGTATATAAAATAACGATATATTAATTTTGTTATAATCAGAAAAATATTCAAACATATATTTGAGATTGAAGAGGTATTTCCAAGCTGTTAATTTGATGAACATTTGTGGAGATTAACAAATGACAATAACATTAAATAGAATTGAAGTTTATTAACTTTGTCGAGAAAATGTTTGTCAATGAAAAATATCCAACACGTTATTTGCCATCGTAGGTGGTTCAGGCAACGCAATCAAGCAGTAATGAGAAAGAATAATAGAAGTCATTTTTTAAGTCGAGGCGACGGAGATGAGCTGACAAAATGAGAAATGTCCGAGTGCAAGGGTCAAACGAGTTTCGGCCTACCGACTACTCACTACCGAATATCGAAACTGCACCTTTAACCACAGCACCGCCCTCTCTCTAATAACACTAAACTCACCCCATACACTATAATATTTTCAATAATTCACCTATTCACACACATTTCTTCCAATTTATTCACACAATAAATTATTCAAAATTAATTTTCATTCATAACTGTGACTAATTTTTTCCCTAATAATTTTCATTTTAGTCCATTCGAATGGATACATCATACGTACTCGATTTATCCAATTTATTATAAACAAATGACCCGACGAAACGTGAGAAACCGCATAGAAATATTAGCGAAGAAGAAAGAAAAAAAAAAAAAGGAATAAAGAAATAACTTACCTTCATCTTTTATCCCGTCGATAAAAAGAAGAAGGGTCACGAATCCTCAATCTTCGGTTTCATCTTTACACTTATAATAGTTGCCCCATTCACAAAGCAACATTCACCTTTTTCAATTTATCGAATATAAAAATAGTCAGGAGGATTTAACACAATCAAACAACAACAACAAAATGAAAGAAAAGTTTTAGCTCGCGGTTCGACGAAGAGGAGGAAATATCAAAAAGTATCCTGCTGTCCGGATCCGTGTCCCGGAGAAGACTGGCATCCTCGAGCGTGCCCCTACCACTGGCCACTATAGTTGTGTACCAACACAAACTTGCTGGACAAGTAATCCCCCCCTCGTACTACTACTATAGAAACTCAAGATACGTGTATACCTCTTTCTCAGTTAGGATATTCGAAGAGGGTGTTACACCGGACTCCGCCTATCGAGAGCACGCCCCTGTTCTTTCGTTCCTACCGTTGAACCAACCCAAACTCTGGTTGGGCAATGTGCTCGCGCGAGTTGACGCATGTGCCGAGTTAAATCTCATCCCCCGTTTTACGAATTGTACGACTAGTACCTTCGTCCTCCCCACCCCACCCCTAGTCAGCCACGCTTTTTATTTCCTTTTGTCCTTTTTTCCCCTTTTTTCTTTTTGCCTCTTTACTACTCCCGTTCTACCACCTCCCACCCCCAGCCCTCG